CCGCAGTGGCGCGTCCCGGGCCGCGCCGACCGGTAACCCCGCCCACGGAAGAGGCGGGTCCGGGGGGGAGGAGCGACGAGGAGCTTCCGGGAGCGAGGGCCTGCCTGGGGGTGGCCGCGCCCCCCCCTGTGCACAGCCCGGGGCGGAATGGTAGGCAAGTGAAGCCCAGTTTTAAATAAATTAAATTATGGCGTAATAACACGATTCAGGTATCAGAGTGAAATCTTTTTGAGGTAGTAATTTCTAAGAAAATGGGTGAGACCTATCAGGCAGTGGCGCAGACGGCCTGGTTCGGGTCCCGGGACCGGGCGTTGGGAAGGCCCCCCCTGTGCACAGCCCGGGGCGGAATGGTAGGCAAGTGAAGCCCAGTTTTAAATAAATTAAATTATGGCGTAATAACACGATTCAGGTATCAGAGTGAAATCTTTTTGAGGTAGTAATTTCTAAGAAAATGGGTGAGACCTATCAGGCAGTGGCGCAGACGGCCTGGTTCGGGTCCCGGGACCGGGCGTTGGGAAGGCGCCCGCGGGCTGCCCTGGGGGTGGGTCGCGGGGGTCCCGGATTTTTCGTGCCCTCTGCGGGGAGAGCGCTACTCAGCAGAGAATCTCGGAGAGCCGGGCTTCCCGGGGCCCACGTTCTAGGACTACAGGGAGCTGTTCTGAAGCGAGGCGAGTGTGTCGGGGTCCAGGCTAGACAGAGGGTCTTCCTTTGGTGGGGCAGCGGGGAGCCGGCCCCGGCCAGGAGCCGGAGCCGCTCGGCGGCCCCCGACCGGGTCGGGAGGAGCGAGACAACTTCGGAAAAGGAAGGGTGCGGGGAGGAGGGCCGGCCGGAGCCCGTAGAGGGCGCGGCGGGCGTGGCTGAAGATGAGCGTGAGCTGAGATCCGCCTCCTCCGGGGAGGGACCCGGCTGCTGAACTCTTAACTCTCTGTTTCCCGAACAGCCGAGGGCAGCTGCCGAGCTCATCACCCCGTTATTTGTATTTGGTTCAGTACTATGCCGCCAGTGCTCTCGAGTTACCTCTCTGATCGTCTTACAGGCCGACGTTGGTTTCATTCTGCCAAACTTGGGAAAGGTGATTCGGAAGCATGGGTGTCCCGGAGAAGCGACCACAAAGTTAGCATACCCCTGGAGGAGCTCGGGTTAAGGAAACAGGTACCGCGTAAATGTACAGAGTTCTTTCCTGTGTAAGCGTGGGGGTTCTGTGCTGTAGAGGCAGTGTAAGCAGTCGCAAGCCCTTTCTAAAGTTACTGACTTAAAGCTCCTGGATTGACTTCAGTTCTGTATTTTTTAAATAAACGGCCAGTAACTTGCATCCGTATTGTCAAAGTGTAACTCCACGATGAAAATAATTACTGTACTGTATTGGCAGAAATTAGTTTTGTTTTGCATGGCTTCATGCAGAGTAAAGTAAGTTGGTTGCTTTGTTAAAGGGATTGACCAGGATTATATCCATTTATTTTGTAAACGTTTTTAAATTTTTTAAATAATTTGCTATAGGGCTTGTGCACTCAACTGGAAAGAGACAAAAATGATAAAACCACCCCCTGGGGGTGGGGGGATGAGCAGGCCTGTATCTGTACTCTGCAAACCTTTTTTCTTTTTGAGGTTTTGATCGTGCATGTACATGCACCCATTGTGTTTTGCAAGCTTCCATGATATTTGATTCCATTACTGAAGTGTTACCCTCATTCACACCATGTGGGATCCAACTGCCTTAACCATGCCACTGGCTGGCCCTGAAAGTTTCACTTTTTGACGTACCGTACGTAGTGCTTAAGAGATACTTCAGGGGACTAGCAGGTCACATGGTGGTTAAGGTGTTAGGCTCCCACATGGCTGACAGTGGCTCAAGCCTGGGACCCGATGGCTTGAAAATCACAGCAAGCACATGTGCACGTGCCCAAAATCTCAAGAGAAGAAGGGATTGTAGTGTGGCCATTCCCCCTGGAAGGTTTCTCACTTTCCCTATCTGTCTTTCTCTGGTGAGTGCACACAGCATATAGCAAAAACCTAACCAGAGAAATGGATGTTTTAGTTACAATACTGTATGTTGGTTGATTTTGCACATTTATGTGTAGAAAAATTCATCTGGCAAACACATGCCAAGCTTAGGGCTAGGTTTTAAGAATCAAGTAGGAGAGACCAGCAGGTGGAGTAATGGCTATGTTGCTGGACCCCCATGTAGTCGACCATGGTTCAAGTCCCGGACCCAGTGGCTTAAACTACCTGGGCACGTGTGCGTGCGTGCGTGCCCAAGAGGAGAATGGAGGAGAAGGGATTGCGGCATGGCCATCTCCCCTGGGAGGTGATTTCTCGCTTTCTGTCTCTCTCTGGCGAGCGCATGCACCCTATAGCAAAAACCTCTCAAAAAACAAAATAAAGTTAAGTAGGAGACAGACACATTTTCTGCTATCTGGAACTTTATAGAAAAGATTATAAAATAAGCAATAACTTTCCATTGAGCTTTGGATTCAAGTTTTTCTTTTCCTAACTCTACAGAGAGTGATAAAGAGGTACTAATTATACATGATATAAATATTTAAAAATTTTGTTGCAGAGTATTTTTTGTGTATAATTTTGTCATGGGGTGTGTGTGTGTTCATCAGAGAGAGAGAAGAGGTAAGAAAGCAACCCAGATAGGGGATGGCCACATTACAGTCCCTTTTCTGTTTTTCTCTCGGGATTTTGGGCATGCACAAATGTGCCTGGCATGATTTTTAAGCCGCCAGGTCCAATACTTGAACTGTACATTCAGCCATATGAGATCCAGCTACCTTAACCACACCACTGGCTGATTCTACATGGTATGTATTTAGTAAAGATGTCAACCTAAACATACTTGCTAGTAATTTATAGCACTACAAACTACCAAAAAAAAAATTGGAGCTACGTCTCTTACATATATTTATTCACTTATTTGTGCATTATGCATATATGTTTTATGAGAGCGTATATATGCATGTTACTAATATGTTAGATGTTAATAGAGCTTCATTTCTCGTGCTTAGGTAATGATAGTTTGAATATTTTCTTTTTGTATCCAGTGGGTCTTCCATATGTCACTTTGGAAACCTCTGCTCTAAATAGTAACCTTTTGATCCTGACCTAATTTTTTTACTCTTCACCATTCTGTCCTTAAATGATGTGTTTAGGAGTTTAAACAGTTTCTTTATGCTCATGTGACATCTATGGACTTGCTATAACCTTCAATAGCAAACATTTCATTCTGACTGGTAATCGGGACATCTTTTCCATTAACTAACCTTTAATGTTAGAGGTGTTGAAAGTTGTCTTATAACGATTTATTAGGTTGTCGAAAAGTCATGACGTATTTTTTCCATGTCTTTTATGCAAAAATGTGTCATGACTTTTCCAACACCTGAATATTTCTAGAAGACTTTTAAGAAGCAAAAAATACCAAATATAAATAGAGCTAGGACTATTTATCTTAAAAGCACCGTCTTCTATAACTTCTATTTTCTAGCTCTAAAAGAAAAAGAATAGACTGGGTAGGGCTTCCCCTATAAGATCTCCTGTGACTGCAGTCCAAGTCCTGGTCTCAGTGCCTTGAAAGTCATAGTTGGCACATAAACGTGTGTGCCCTACATCCCCAAAGGGTGGAGAAACAGAGGAAAAGTGATTGTAATGTGATAGTGCCCCTGGGCAGCAGATGGTGAGACCAGTGCATCCTCTCCCGCCCCATAGCTCCCAGCCCCCCACCCCGGCTTCTGTGAGTGCATATACCTTCAGACAGTTTAAAAGAGAGTTTGCTTTAACTTGAGTAGTTCCAAATTAATTTAAAAGATGTACATAAATAAAACAGTGGTATTTACTGTGTAAACTGTGTGTTTCTCATAAACACATATTTTCCTTTTTCAGAAAGAGCATGAGTGACTCAGCCAGAATGGAAGTGTGTCCTTATTGTAAGAAGCTGTTTAAACGATTAAAATCCCACTTGCCATACTGTAAGATGAGAGGACCAAACATACCTGCTGGTCAAGAGGTTTATCAGTCCAAGCCAGCTATACTCCCACGTGCTAAAAAATTGAAAGGACCAATCAAAGATGTAATTAAAGCTAAAGAGAAAAAGTTAGAGGCAGTGAGTGACGCAAGGAATACTAAATTAAAGAAGGACAAACCAGAAAAGACCATTGAGACTTTTCCACTACTAGATGGCGGTTTGGAAAGTACTACCAAGACAGATAAAGACATCCAGAATCAAATTCAACTTTCCTTCAGAATGATAAATGATAAACCAAAGATTACGTTCCAGGGAGAGAGCAAGGCTCCATTTTATGCATCAAAGAACATCGTTCCTAAAAGGGAACTTGCCAAAGATTTCCCTAATTCAGAGGATAGTAGATGTAATCCTTCAGAAACCGAAGCATCTTTATTGGTTAGCCTGTCAGAACTTCCTTTGTCAAATCAAGGTAAGAAATATTCCTCAGTCGTACCTGTTGAAGTACAGACCATTTCTACTCGTCTGAAATCAGACAAAATTGGTCCTCAGAGGCAAGAGCTTCTAGTAAAATCACTAGAGGTGCCTATTGATGATTATCATAGTTCTCCAGAGAATCTCATTGATGGGGTTAAAAGAGTAAGAACATCATTGACAGTGAACAAGCAAGATTCCAAAAGCAGGAATCACTTCTCAGTAGACTCTACTGACGTGAGAGACACTGAAATGCAGGAAAAGAACACAGAATCGTTCATTGTAGGGCTTAAAATTAGCCCAGTGGGTGAGTTCCAAGTCAAGAAGAACCAGGAAAAAGGACTTCTTAGTCTTGGAATAGAGACATGTGGGAGCCAAGGAAATACAGAGCGAAGTGTGTCTGTGACAGAAATGCAGGACTGGACTTCCGGGGGCAGTGGCTCCAAGAACTTCAATACTGACAATTCAGCCACAGGAAAGAAATCTCAAGTTGAAAGTCCTTGTGTAAATTTGTTTACTCCAAGGGAACTGACTTACAGTAAGTCTCTTTCTATATCTCAGTCAGGAAATCAAAGTCTTGGCTCTATGGCTATTACATTTTTTCAGCAAGAGAAAGCAGGAGTCCCTGATGTGAAGACGTTAATGGAGAGTAAAGGACAGGCTTCTCTGGAGCGATGCCTGCATTCAGCCCAGCATCACACTTCTAAAAGCTCCTTTGTCAAAAACGTCAGTGCTACTGACAGAAAGACCCTTCAGCTCCCACGCTCAGTGGGACTGGAGTGGTTTCCAGAGCTCTACCCTAGTTATCTTGGACTGGGGGTGTTGCCAGGGGAACCTCACTATTGGAAAGCAATGGTCCAGAAGCCTCAGCGTGGCTGTCCCCAAGCGAGAAGTCTCACACAAGGTAAACAAGTCATTTATTTTCAAGAGCCATCAAGCTCATCCAGCATACTCTGAACCTTTTGAGTTCCTAAGAGTCAAAATAATATTTCACTCACTTATTAATAGCTTATTTTTATCTAGACATTTCAGTGCACTGGACTTAAAATTATTCTGGAAACATTACCACTTGTTCCAAGGGTCAGTAGTAGTGTTTATCATTTTCTCTTACTCTCTTAAGAGTTGAGGGTTGGATGGTGACATTGACGGCCATTGAGTTTCTGTTGAAAAGCATAACTGGTTGAAATTGAATGGGTATTTAAACTGAACAGACAGGGTGGGGGGAGGTAGAGATTATAAGAGTCACTGAAGCAGAATAAGTATTATGTTCAGAATTCAGTTAGTCCCGGATTGTTCAGGAAATAGAGTCCAGGTTTACAGTTAAATGCAACATTTAAGAGCTTAGATTAGCAAAGAAAGTATGAACAGAAGCCGTTTGGGGAACTGTAGGTCAGACAAGGTTCAAAGTGGCCAAGTGGGGGGAACAAGTGTAGAAATCATGCACTGGAAGAAGTAGACCCCTGAGATTAGGACCCAAGAGTAGAACCAGTGGTTGAATCTCAGATTAGGTTAAAAGGACTTGGAGAAAGATTGGACATTGAAACGGATCCTGATTGTGACTCTCTTCAGAAGCATTCTAGATGTGGGTGGGTGGGTAGGTGAACTAGCAGGTACACTGAGACCTAAGGAGGAGCTAGGACGTTCCTAACAGTCGTTTTAGGCACCCGTGCATTTTTTCTGCTGAATCTCATCTTTAAAATGAGACTCCTTCTAGGTTTGATGCATAAAGTGTCCTCATTTTCTTCATCAGGAAGCATCGGTGGTTTTGTTTTAAGATTGTCTAAGGGCCTAGTTAGTTTAGAGTATCATTAATTGGTGCTGTCAGTCTTATTTTGACAGAAGACCTACAACAAATCAGAGTAGATCTGCATCTGAAAGAAAGATGGATGTTATCTTCTGAAAGAAGATACTTTTTCTCTCTTCAAGTGATTATCTATTCACTAAACCCTTAATTTGTCAGGTCTCAGAAGAGAAAAATAAATGTAAGAGAGAGCTATCCTCACTGGGGTTTCAGAAGGCTGCAACCCCACCCCACGCCCACACTCAGCCTTTTAGGCACCCAGGATCATGGATGTGGTCTGCATGTTTAGATCCACCCACAGCCCAAACCCCAGACCTGTGTACGTGGCTTCAGCGTTGCGCAGCAGTGCCCTACTGCCTGTGCCACCATGCTGGGCCTAACTCCTAGGCCTTTTTGTATGACGTTCTAGTCTCAAGGTCAAGCTCCTTTGCACCATGATCTTCCCCCAGCCCTGCAGCTAGCTGGGATTACTGGTGCACTCGTGTGTGCCCGATCTGTTCATGTAGACCTGTGGTGCAAACCCAGAGCCTTCCCTTGTGATCACTAGACCATACAGCAGCACCCTTACTGCTTGCACCACTGCAGCTGGGCAAGGCCCCTGTCCTGCACACATCACCTCCCTACTGAGATTTGTGCCTCAGACACCTTTAGTGGCTCATGCAGTGACAGGTGCAAATCCAAGTCTATCTTACTCTTCTGTTTGTGGTCTTTAAACTGCCTGAGGCAGACTGCCCATGTAGCCTGCCACTTTAGGAAGTCAGATCTCACATGACCAACTGCAGTTTAAATCCAGGCCCTGGTGGCTTGCAAAACACACAGGGCATATATGCCCAACATTCCAACGGGATGGAGGAGAGAAAATGATGTTACAACCCCCCTGGGACATGTGGGGACTGCACCCTCTAGATCTCTGGTGAACATATATGCTCTCTGGCAATTAAAATACAAATAAACTTCCTGAGGCTTAGGATACTTGGTGATCAATCTCTAATTTATTAGTTGGGTTTCACTTATTTATATGAGTCCCAAGAATACAGTGATAATAAGTGATACAGTAACTTATAACATCAAATCACCAGGCTACAAGATAGACTATGAGGAGAAAATAACAGTTTTACCTTTCACCAGTAAGTTCTTCCTAGGTTGTGTTAGAAACTATTGATATTTTTGTCCCTTTTCTTACAGATGGTCTATAAATAATGTCATCAGTGTAGTACTTCTCTGTCAGACAATGAAGTATGATTATCACAGGGCCTGTATACTAGAAGAGAGAGACTTTAAGATCTCAGTTAAGGTTAAGACCTGATCCTCAGCCGAGGACGTCAGCAGGGCCACCTAAATCTAACGGATTAAAAGATAGCATCATTGGGACCAACAGGTAGTTGATGGGTACGGTGCTGGACTTCCAGATGGTTGGCCACAGTTTGAATCCCAGATCTGGCAGCTTTTGAAAATCTTACCAAACACGTGCATGAATGGCCAAAGTCCCAGAAGGAGAATGGAGAAGGGATTGTGGCATGGCTTTCCTCCCTGGGGGGTGATTTCTCACTTTCCCTCCACTGTTTTTCTCCCTCTCTCTGGCAAGGACATGCACCCTATGGAAAAAACTTAAAAAAAAATTTTCTGGCCAACAGTTGGCATGGTGGTTAAATCCCACATAGCTGACTCTGCAGTTCAAGTCCTAACCCAGAAGGTTGAGAAGCATACCAGGCACTTGCGCATGCTACCTAAAATCCCAGGAGAATGGAGGAGAGGGATTACAGCTTGGCCATTTCCCGGAGGGGTGATTTCTCACTTTCCCTCTCTCTAGCTAGTATGCATGTCCTATAGCAAAAAACAGAAGATAAAGGTCATTGGTTCCTCAAAAAGCTTTGTGATTTACCAAGGAACAGTTACCTCTGATGTCTGCACATTCAAATTGAACTTTCATGGAGTCTGCAGAGAATGGGCTATCCCTTCCTTTGCTCAGGCAGCCCTTTTCAGGAAGTTAACTCATTCCTCCCACTACATAAAGGCCGGGTTAGTGAGCTAGCTATTACTCAGCTACCTTGTCAGACAAGGTACGTGTTTACATGGGTTCTCTCAGCTAACCCCTATTACCAGCCCTGGGAGATTGATAGTCCTTTTTTAAGTGAGAAGGCTGAGTTTCCGCAGAGAGAAACAGCTTCAGTTAATGGTTAGCATCTAACACTGCTTTGATGGGCTCTGCCAGGCTTTTCCAGGCAGTGTTGGACTGTGGGCTTCGAGATTATGTCAGGTGTTTTTCTATGAAGGGGCGCCCCCTGCACATCAGGATAATCGGATGAGCTTTAGTGAAATAATTCCACTACGTGAAAATGTGCCCTGGGCTTTGAGAGGCATAAACGGATATTTTGAGATTTTGATAAAGCAGGGTGGAGCCAAAAGTTCTTGTGACTGAAGAAAATGGTTCTGTTTTGGTCGCCTAGGATAGGAAATACCAAAGCAGGCTATTTCCACAGATGCTACTCAGTCAGGTGAGTCAGGAATAACAATTCCGCTTATGGAATGCAGCAACTTTAGGAATATCTTTTGAAGTTCAGAGGGAAGGCTTTTCATGAACTTACTACCAAAAGGAGATTTCCTAGCTTTTGTGGAAATATATTTTAGAAGTTAAAGTTTTAAAAATCAAGAGACTCAACCAGTAGAAATGTTCAAGAGTCCTCCGCGATGGAGATTTGCGGCCATCCTTTGAGGGAAAGCATTCAGGCCTGAGATTTCCCTGCTGAGCCTTGGCAGAGTTCATGGCACCTTGGATTTTGGGACTCAACGCTTGAGAGAAAACTGCCTTGATTCCCAAATCTGGACAAGATCCAGTTTCATATGTGGTTTTTTTTTTGTTTTTTTTTTTTTGTTTGTTTGTTTGTTTTGTTTTGTTTTAAGATGAAAGATGTGTAGGGGTGGGACCAGTAGACAGCATAATGGTTATGTCACTGGACTCCCACATATTTGACCATGGTTCAAGTCCTGAACCTGGCTACTTAAGACTCGGGCTGGGCACGTGTGAGTGTGTGCCCAAGATGCCAAGAGGAGAATGGAGAAGGGACTGTGGCGTGGCCATCCCCCCGTGGAGTGA